TGACCCTGGCTTCCAGGTCGACCCAGCATAAAATGGGTATAAGGTAAAGTCAAGGGAGGTAAAGGCAGCTGGCAAGATGTTCATGACATTACCCACTGAGTGTTGACTAGTCTATACAATTTTAGGCTTAGCACTATAAGCCTGATGTTATTACTTCCCGTCCTATTTAGGAAGAAATTTTTCGTTGTTTGAAGCCCTACTCAGGCTCTTGCCAGGGGCCGCAATATAGCCTGGCCGTAAATGTGGTGCGACGTCCGTGGCTTAGGCGCTGCGAGTCTGACTCGTAAGCCAGTGTACCGCAATTGAAACCCACTGCTGGCTGCGTGGATTTTTATCATGGTACAGGGCATCGCAGGTCGACCCAGCCTAAAATGGGTACCAGGATAGGCTGTCCTGGGAAAGTAAAGACAGCCGGCGTAATGCTGATGGTCTGTAAAAATATGGGCGCTCATATGCCCGATACGCCCAAAGGCGTGGAAAGGGATCTTTACTTTTTTTACTTATAAATGTGGTCTAATGGCTGATCGCGGTTTCTGGGACCTCTCCACGGTGATCTTCACCCACCTGGTGGCACTTTGTGTCATCGGGTGTTTATCACTTGTGAGATGTCCTGGTGGGGTAAAAGTCTACTACTACTACTAAGTCTGATGCGCTAAAGAAGTATTTTTTACTGTTCATGCAAAGAGGCAAGCACCATTTCATGCAAGTAGTTATCATCTTCTGGATCATTTCTCCAGTGTATAGTGGTGTGTTAGGAAATAAACAGGCAGACAGATTGGCTGACTCTGTACCATTTGGTGCATGACAAGGTTACATGCAGTCAAGTCCCTTTGGAAGAAAGTGAACAGTCTGGAACAGTGAAGAGATCATCTAGGTCTTGGAAAGTGGTTCTGCTGAAAGTGACCAGAGAATTCAGCCAACCTTCCATACTCAAAGTCGAGGCCAGACGAACATTTACTCAAATGACTACTGGCACCATCAGAATTGTAACTCAGTGTTGGCTGCTGAAAATGGGGATAGAGTGTTTATGTGCCAAGCGCTGTGATGTCATTTTTTAAAAACAACTCAACTTTGTAAAGCTCTATATGACCATATGTCAAACCATTTGTTGTGTGCTCTAAAGGTCAATATTTTGGTTTGCATCCTTTGGTTTACGAGTGCAATGAATTGGGATATCCTTGGGTATCATTGCTTAAGCTTCAGAGATCATGGTCCTGATGAAGTTTCTAGCAGGTGGCTAGCCACTCTGTCGAGAGAGACTGAGCCACACAGAATAAAACTTGGTGCAACCAACTTGATACTACCATCTTTTCAAACATTAGCATTTAATAATATAAACTGGCAATAAATGTTTTAGATTTTCAAAATGCAGGCGTGTCAAAAGACTGTAAAAAATGGATTTCAAATAAAACTGCCTACAGATTTACAAAATCATAAAATTGCTGTCTCAGTATTATAAGTAAAAATAGAATTTAAACTCTTTGGGACTGCATGATACAAGTTTGATCTGTACATTTGGTTCTACTAGAAGTAAAAATGTGCAGGACTTTCTTGAAATGCAAAAAAACCTGGCATATTACTCACACACAACTAATGAAACATTTTATCAGACAACAACATACTCAATAAATGTAACTGAAAGAGAAAAATAAAGAATCCAGATAAGATTTTAAATTGAAAAATAAAGTGACAAATGAAATATTGCATTTCAATTAAGAAAGAACACTGATTTTATAGTTTGTACAACTGTAAGTATTAACATATTAACTAATAATAAATAAAGAAACAAATAAGAAACATATTAAACAATATAACATAACCTTTAAAAAATTAGAAATCTTCAAATTACATGTGCATTATTGAAGATACATTAATTATATAATAAAGATGTTTTGATTAGTTGAATAAAATTAAATACTATGCACAAAATATCAACAATGATAAACAGGAACATTTACAAAATTGCTAAGTGTTTGCTCAAGAATATTGATAAGAAAAGATTCAGTTTCACAACATTACAATATAACTAATCTAAAACAGTTAATCAGAATAAATAGAATCACATTACAATGTAGTTAATCTCCCTCAGATGAAATGTAATTTCAACTGTCTCAATATTTTGAAAATATGATTATGTTAATGATAAATTATAAGTTCATATTATGTCTGTGGTATGGCCACTTATTTAAAACAAATTTAATGAAACAAAACATGTTTGTTTACACAGTCCAACAGTACATAAGCACACATTGCAGGTTAATTATTTTATGATGCAGGTAAAGCTGAAAAAATCTGGCATCTGTTTTACTTAATGAAAAGTAAGGTGTGTCAGGGGAGACCAATACTTTCTTTTTGACAAAATCGAATAAAAGTCAGTATATTATCAGGCTCTATAAGAAAAGCTAGGGTTAAGGTTAAACAGCATATTACCAGGCTCTATAAGAAAAGCTAGGGTTAAGGTTAAACAGTATATTATCAGCTCTACAAGGAAAGCTAGGATTAAGGTTAAACATTATATTATCAGGCTCTACAAGGAAAGCTAGGGTTAAGGTTAAACAGTTTATTACCAGGCTCTACAAGGAAAGCTAGGGTTAAGGTTAAACAGTATATTATCAGGCTCTATAAGAAAAGCTAGGGTTAAGGTTAAACAGTATATTATCAGGCACTACAAGGAAAGCTAGGGTTAAGGTTAAACAGTATATTATCAGCTCTACAAGGAAAGCTAGGGTTAAGGTTAAACAGTATATTATCAGCTCTACAAGGAAAGCTAGGGTTAAGGTTAAACAGTATATTATCAGGCACTACAAGGAAAGCTAGGGTTAAGGTTAAACAGTATATTATCAGGCACTACAAGGAAAGCTAGGGTTAAGGTTCATCAGTATATTATCAGGCTCTACAAGGAAAGCTAGGGTTAAGGTTAAACAGTATATTACCAGGCTCTACAAGGAAAGCTAGGGTTAAGGTTAAACAGTATATTATCAGGCTCTACAAGGAAAGCTAGGGTTAAGGTTAAACAGTATATTATCATGCTGCGCAAGGGAAGCTAAGGTTAAGGTTAAACAGTATATTATCAGGCTCTACAAGGAAAGCTAAGGTTATGGCTAAACAGTATTTTATCAGGCTGCGCAAGGGAAACTAGGGTTAATGTTAAACAGTATATTATCAGGCTCTACAAGGAAAGCTAGGGTTAAGGTTAAACAGTAAATTATCAGGCTCTACAAGGAAAGCTAGGGTTAAGGTTAAACAGTAAATTATCAGGCTCTACAAGGAAAGCTAGGGTTAAGGTTAAACAGTATATTATCAGGCTCTACAAGGAAAGCTAAGGTTAGGGTTAAACAGTATATTATCAGGCTGTGCAAGGGAAGCTAAGGTTAAGGTTAAACAGTATATTATCAGGCTCTACAATGAAGATTTTCTGCAATTGATTTTCAACAAATTCTCTCTCTGTTTCATCCTCCTGGTACATTCTTTACTTCCCAATATTTTCCTGGTTCCCACTGTAAGCAGTCAACCTCATTTGCTGGATGCTCATCTGGCGTGTAAACCAACCTTTCCTGTAACTGTTCTTCAGAGACAGCCATAAGAAGCTACAATACTGCATTAGATGGCTTGCTTGCCCGCAAGGCTAACGGTCCTGGGATCAATGTACCCTACTGAGGTGAATTTTCAGTTCTTTCGTAATATCCTACCCCAGATGACATCACAGGACAGTCCAACATTTTAGAGGATGGTAAGACTGTGTTTCCCGGCTTTCTGATGCTTTTAACAACCCGAAAACATTTACAACTGGCCCTAACCCCAACCCACTATGTCCCACGAAAGAGTGCAGCCTAGGTCCCACCCCCTGAAATATTAGACTGTCCCATGACCTGGGATTTCACCTGTTTGGGGTAGGATTTTAAGAAAACACTGAATTTCCAGCTGACCTGGCTTTCAAAACAGAGCCATCCTAAAGTGTATCCCAGAAAATACACTGGAAAGTTAAGGCAGCCATCATAAAACTAACCACATCACCCATCAAGTAAGTAAAGCAGTACAGTAAAAGACTTATTTTAAGCCCGTGAGACACCAGGAACATAATGCTAGAAATATTTTTATAGACCCATCAGTACATGGGGAGCTGACATGGTGTAGTGGCTAGATGCTCGCCTGCATACCCGAAGGTCACAAGTTTGGGTCCTGAGAGAAAACTAGATTTATTTTCTAAACAAAAATGGCCTTTGCTCCCAGATCCACCCAGCCTTAAATGGGTACCATACAAAGTTCTTGGAAGTAAGGATGGCTGGAATGATGCTGACACATCACCCACACAGTGCCAATTGGTTTATAAAATGTAGGTCTAGCCCTATAACCCCAATATGTCTGAAGGCCTGCTAAAGGGCCCTTTACTTATTTAATCAGTACCTGATGGGTGATGTAGTTAACAACACACCAGCTACATTTACTTCCCAAGGGACTGATTGCCTGGCACAGATCTAGGCTGAGCTGACCTAGGAACCAAGGTCAGTTTCGGGTAAAACCCACTTGATGTGGATTCAAACTTAAGACCATTAGACTGGCAGGTGGGCATCTTTCATTATGCTTTGGCCAAGTGGTCTATACAAAATATATCGCCAGCATCATATTTCCAATCGACTTCAGGATATGGAAACAGGATCATTACGAGGGAGGACAAAATCTTGAAGAAGCCTGCACATGCAGACTATCCCAGAAGTGTTTCTGTATGAACAAGAGTTATTCTTACCCTGCAGGGCGGCAGGTTACACCGGGCTGGTGTCACCGTTATGGGTGACCTAATTGTAACTTCTTTTGAGGTTGAACGGGGTACGGAGGATTTGCCTTGCTGGTCCACTTTCTAGATTGAGATTCTTCCATATCAGGATGGAATAGTAAACCTCTAAGTAGCATCCCGGAGGGAGCAAACTGACAGACTGATCGATCGACCAGATGTCAGACAGGTGAAGGGATAATGAAATATTCAGGGAGCTATTAGCATTTTCCTAATCATCAATGTCATCGTCATGCCCCCCAGTACCATTATGGTCCGCATGGTCGTCGCCAGATACTTTCATTCTCTTGACTTTGGCTCGGTGATTCTTGAACCAGAGTTGCACGTTCTTGGGCTCTAACTTCGGGAACTTATGCCTGTATTCACATTTGTTGAGTTCCTCACAGTACTTGTCAATCATAAACGCTGATGGGTGTGTGTCCTCGGTGAACCATTTCTCTAATTTGGGGATCTCTGTTAGGGGGTCGATAAACACACGCGTTCTACGCTTGCGTGGTTCGGAACCGTGCCGGTGATGAAGATGCTGTGGTGACTGTTGCTGCTGATGCTGGTGGTGATTTAACTGATTCAAGGACTGCTGCATGAGAGACGGAGAAGACAGTGGACTTCGGGAGTCTATATGGGTGCAATCCTGGCTCTGCCTGAGTGTTAACTGCGACAGGTGGGATGTATGCGTTGCAGCAAGGGAAGTTGGCGGGGATGCTGACAGGGAATGTGGAACTGCAGGCTGTGAATAGAATCTTGGATCCATTGGGTAGTAAGCCATGGCAAGTGATGATGTCAACTGTGGAATGTGTAAAGGCTGACCCATCTGGGCCAGGGACAAAGCAGCCATATTTGCCGCCGTTAGACGAGATACGTTACTGTGCATGGCTGATGCATAATCAACGACAGCTGCTGCTGCTGCATTCTGTTTTATCCGAAGCTTGAGTTCCTCCTCAGAGTTGTAACTGTCATTTGAGCTCTCATCATCTTCATCGCTTGAATTCCCCTTTCTATCATTCTCCTTCTTCACTTGACCTAGTTCCAAACCTGAATTCCTAGAGGTATGGCTTAACTGTCTGTAATTCTTTCTAGAATTAAGGTGATGAAAATATTCATTTTCTTCATGTTTCATCTTTAGACTGGCAGAGAACTTATCCAACACAATGTCCCCATTCTGGAAAGGGGTGGGAGGATCAGAGAAGTTACTGTCAATGTCTTCATTTTTTATGGAATGTTCCATGTCAATTGACCCCGGGGTTGACCTATACAGAGATACCCTGAAGTTGTTTTGATTACTACTATTATTGCCACTGCCATTGGTGAAGTAAATGTCATCAGATCTGTGCGGGATCTCTTGCCGCATTTTAGAAGCCACATCCAAGAGAGCCGGGAATCTCGGCGGGCAGAAGGGTTTTTTCTTCTTCAAGCTGTTGCTTTGATTTTCACACTCAGAAGATGCTGAAGAAGATTTCGTTGGTGAAGGAGAAGAGGAGAGTGACAAGAAGTGATTGTCACTTCTATCGGTTTCTTCGTTTGTTTTGGATATTTCTGAGGATGGCCGTTTCGTTAGGGACAAATCGTAAGGTTCATCAACATCTGTCCCTGATACTAAATTGTCCCTGTCCCTGACATTATCTCCAACACTGGGCATGAGATGAGGGTAAGGGTGGAAGGGAATCATATAAACTGCATTCTTGTTTGGGAGAAAAGGTGGAACTGACTCGGAAGCCGGGCTTCCTGATTCTACAGAGTTCATCTCAATGTTCTCTTCATTCTCGAAGGAATCATCAAGCGCTCTAGTGGCCCGTCTCTGTGCAGCTCTGGCATTTTTAAACCAGTATATAATATTCGTTAGGTCCAGAGGTCTTCGACCTTTTCTGGATTCTAACCCATTAAGTTCTTGCATGAACCTCATCATCTGCTCTCTAGTTGGATGCTGGTTGGCGCTAAACCACTTCTGAAGACGAGGAATCTCATGTTCCGGATCAAATGAGGTTCTTATCCTAGTCTTTCCTGGCATTAACCCTAAATACGGGTTAGAAGGGTGACTCTGAAGTGTCGACGGCAAATTGCCTTCATTCGGCAGCCGTGAAAATTTATATAAATCTGGTTGCAAGCAGTTTTTATCAAGAGTTTTATCGAAGGATCTTTTACTTCTGTTTACGCTGTCAGATTCTTCATGGCCGTGAAATGAGTGGTTTTGATGTTTGAGTTTTTGCGAATCTGCTGAGAATTTTGATGAAGAATCAGATTCTGCAGGCTCTTTCTTCACATCAAGATTTAAAGGAGATGATCTGGGCAAGGAAGAAGCAACAATCGGAGCTGGTGCAGACTGTGTTTTCATCTCTTCACTCTGCGATTTTACCATCACAGCTGATGCCACATGTACATTTAATGGTAGCGGGGATTTTGCTGTGACTGGTGCCTGCAAAGGCGGTGCAGGAGGTAATTTATCTGACTTTAGAAGTGAAGAGAATGGACAATCCTCGGCTTGTAAGGTAGTGTTTATCTTCTGTCGCTTGTACCAATCATTGAATGAAGCGCAGACCTGTTCGGAAATGCTCTGACTGATCTCCCCTAGCGAGATGGCTTCAAGAAACGACTGTAAAGACAGAAATAAAAAATAAGTAAATATCTCTTCTGTGACAAAACATTTATTATAGTAACATTAACTGGAGCTGTCATCAGACAATACTTCCTTAGTCATTCACATCAGTAAACAGAGCTATCTGTCATCAGACAATACTTCCTTAGTCATTCACATCAGTAAACAGAGCTATCTGTCATCAGACAATACTTCCTGAGTCCTTCACATCAGTAAACAGAGCTATCTGTCATCAGACAATACTTCCTGAGTCCTTCACATCAGTAAACAGAGCTATCTGTCATCAGACAATACTTCCTGAGTCCTTCACATCAGTAAACAGAGCTATCTGTCATCAGACAATACTTCCTGAGTCCTTCACATCAGTAAACAGAGCTATCTGTCATCAGACAATACTTCCTGAGTCCTTCACATCAGTAAACAGAGCTATCTGTCATCAGACAATACTTCCTGAGTCCTTCACATCAGTAAACAGAGCTATCTGTCATCAGACAATACTTCCTGAGTCCTTCACATCAGTAAACAGAGCTATCTGTCATCAGACAATACTTCCTGAGTCATTCACATCAGTAAACAGAGCTATCTCAAACATAACAATCAGTTTCAGCACAGACTCGAACCCAGGACATTCTTCATGTTAGGAGAATGTAATACACTATGGAATCATCTGAAAATATGTGTATGTCTTGTATGGTATGGTGTCACAGGGTACTTTTTCTAAGCGGGCAAACCATTCAGTTTGCCGTCTTTGTACGTGATTTAGAATTGGTTCTGTGCCGACCTTTTCTCTTACAACCTCATCCCTGATTTTATAAGGGGGATAGACCCACTGCTTCCCTAACAAGCATGTCGTAACAGTTGGCTAATTAGGATGGATGTTTCCTTCAAAGTCAGCCTTAGAGGTGAGGAACCAACAGTCTGCATACAGGTGAGCCAGATCAGTAAAACAGATGTTCATGCAAAAAATCATGTTCTGGAACAAGACGGAAGTCCAGAAGTGGACAAAAGAGCCATAATTTTCTGCCAGAGTTTTCAGCAGGTGAATGCAAAGAATACAAAGAGGAAATGCATAAACGCACAACACTGACATATCTAGACTATAAATCACAAACCCTTTCTGTATTTCGTGTTTATTATAAATAAAGTGTTAACTCTTCCGAAACTGTGACCAGTACACGGGTTAAATTTGCATTTACCATTATGACTACAATGTTTAATTTGATAGTCACATTGGCTGCCAAGGTTACTGTGTATTTCTTTATTTTTTCCGACAATCAGTGAAAGTAAACTGGCACTGGAGTTATATCCTTTTAAATTTTGTTTCTATTACATCCATTGCCTCCTGTGTACTTAGGGGCAATGAAGAAAGATACGACAGTGACACAGACAAAGATGAAGTAGAAGACGGGATATTAAATACAGGATTTTAGTTAGACCGCTTTTCCCACTAGGCCTACACATAGGGCAGCAGTGGAGACCAAGATGAGATAGAGAACAGCAGAAAAGACTTTCTTTCACTTTCCCGGGCAGAGCAGGGCAATTAAATCTAGCTGTATGTACAGACATTTCACTTATTTCTTTACCTTACAATTTGACATGACATAACTTTATAAATGTTTATATATACACACACACATACGGACAGACAGACAATAAACATATAGAACTGGCAGACTCATACTTTTTCAATGGGACACCCTGCCTGGACCAGGAAATCTATGGATTTGGTGAGCAGAAGCTGCAGAAGTCTGTCTTTCACATCGTCATTGTTTGCAGTGTTGTTTATCTGGCTGCTGGTAAAAAGAAAACAATTGGATTAACAGACTGTCTGTCGACAGTAGTAGCTCAAATGGAAAACAATAGGATTAACAGATTGTCTGTCGACAGTAGTAGCTCAAATGGAAAACAAAAGGATTAACAGATTGTCTGTCGACAGTAGTAGCTCAAATGGAAAACAATAGGATTAACAGATTGTCTGTCGACAGTAGTAGCTCAAATGGAAAACAATTGGATTAACAGATTGTCTGTCGACAGTAGTAGCTCAAATGGAAAACAATAGGATTAACAGATTGTCTGTTGACAGTAGTAGCTCAAATGGAAAACAATAGGATTAATAGATTGTCTGTCGACAGTAGTAGCTCAAATGGAAAACAATAGGATTAACAGTTTGTCTGTCGACAGTAGTAGCTCAAATGGAAAACAATAGGATTAACAGATTGTCTGTCGACAGTAGTTGCTCAAATGGAAAACAATAGGATTAACAGATTGTCTGTCGACAGTAGTAGCTCAAATGGAAAACAATAGGATTAACAGATTGTCTGTCGACAGTAGTAGCTCAAATGGAAAACAATTGGATTAACAGATTTTGTCTGTCGACAGTCCTAGCTCAAATAATTGCAAAAAATATATTGCCTGCAGGCCTGGCTGTCAGAGATCTGAATTCCCATTGGAGCAGACTTGAAATTTAACCTCAGCTTTCAAGCTAACATAATCTGAACTTTATTTCAGTCCCATGAAATGTGTGATGCAGAATAGACTTTTCCGCACGAATCCCAGCCTTGACATAATCTCTTAACGCTTATTTTTAATGGTCAGAGCACACTAAAGAAATCTGGCTTCCCTATTGGCTACTTCTACTGTGTAATTTGCTTTTTTGATAGTTATGCAATCGCAACTTTGTGTCTTTATTTTTCTCCATCTTTCTCTCTACAACAACCAACAGTTTCATCATTTAGTATCTTTGTAAATGTAACTGTCCCGCCCCCCCCCCCCCCCCCTTTTCTGCCCTTAATTGTTCCCTTCCAGGATTGCAAACTGGAAGATAAAATTTAGTGACTCAAAAAGCCACTATATAGATAGGAGTTCAGCAGAGGCAAATTCCAGAAACCTTGTTCGACAATATAACACCTTTATTATATGAGGGTTAAAGTTAGTTGCATACCCTTTACAGGACATTGCAGAACAACCCCAGCATTTTTTGGTTGTTGTGGTTTTTCTAGGCAAATTTTACATCCAGTAGTTTGCCATTGCTCCTGAACGGTCAGATCTTGATACCACTGTCAAAACTAACACAAGGTGCAAGGCCCGCAGTTGTTATTGGACCCGGCACCCCGGCATTACGAAGCGGGTTCGCAATGCCTAAGCCACCGGTGCAGACAATGAGGGTAACACCTTTATATGAGGGTAACCTCTTTATATGAGGGTTACACCTTTATATGAGGGTAACCTCTTTATATGAGGGTAACACCTTTATATGAGGGTAACCTCTTTATATGAGGGTAACACCTTTAAATGAGGGTAACCTATTTATATGAGGGTAACCTCTTTATATGAGGGTAACACCTTTATTTGAGGGTAACATCTTTACAAGACGGTAAACTCTTTATATTAGGGTAATACCTTTATTTGAGGGTAACACCTTTATTTGAGGGTAACACCTTTTCATGAGGGTAAACTCTTTATATTAGGGTAACACCTTTATATGAGGGTAACCTCTTCATATTAAGGTAACACCTTTATATGAGGGTAACACCTTTATATGAGGGTAACACCTTTATATGAAGGTAACTTAAAGTTACAAAGAAATCTGCCCTCCAATGTGGCTGTGCGATTAAAAATATCATCTTATGCTTTTACACATACTCTTTACAATCCCAAACTTCTGTCTTCCCTCTCTCTTTCTCTCTCCAGCTCATGCAACCACTATTTCCCTTGTCATCTTTATCTGTATACGGGTTACCTTTAGAGTTTCTTTGTGTTAGTCACCATCTCCTCTCTTTCCTTCTTTTCTAGACTCTTTCTTGTCTTTATTTAATTTTCAGAGTCAGAACACACACCTGCTGGGATGTTATCTCCCCTAATATTCATTCCACGGTTGTCTCCCCGTTATCAGCGATGGCTTCAGACAAAACGATCTTTGTGTTCTTCAGTTAATCTCTGCTTTTTTTCCCCCTTGTGTCTGTATTCTCATCTCTTAATTTTTTTTTCTTTTATTATCATCATCAAGTAAATCAGCACTCTACTCTCAGAGCAAAAGGAAAGGTGGACACATGACCAAACTGCTACGCTACCATCAGCGTTGGAACTCTTGGCTGGCTGCTGAACCAGTGGACAGGGTGACTATGTGAATGTCCAGAGTGCTGTGATGTTGATTTTTAGTATAACTCGGCCCAAGAGCATCAACAATTGCTGTTGGTGATTACGCTACTCAATCAGGGCACGGTGAGCACAGAAGAATCAACGGACCAGGAAAATGTTCTCATTGCTTTTCTGAAGGCTGGACAAGTAGATTACTCAAGGGATGGTGACATGATAACATGACTACAAGAACTTCTTCTTCTTCTTCAGCATTCTGAGCCCTTGAGGTTCACTGCTGCAGATATCACCCGCCTCCATTCATCTCTCTGGTTGACCTTCTTCTTCAGCATTCCGAGCCTTTGAGGTTCATTGCTGCAGATATCACTAGCCTCCATTTTCTTTCCAGTTGGTGACACCAAGTGTTTGCAGGTCTGTCTGCACATTATCCATATGTTTGTGGGTCTGCCTCGTGTTCTACGATTATTATCTTTCTTGCCAAAGAAGAAATGTATACCAACACAGAACTAGTGTTATCAGTCGCCACACACCTAGGGAGATACTGAAGATGGGATCTGAGCGCTTATGGACTTATCCAATGTGTGATGAAGATGACTGGTCAATTAACTAACCAACTAACTGCTCTATGCTGTGCCCATGTTGCTGGTCTCTGAGCATCAAGAAAGGGT